AACAAATAATGATGGAAATTATAGTAAATAGTTTAGACATCGGGATCGAGATGCCTCCCTCACCTCGATACGTATACGGATACGTATACGGATACGTCAGAAAGAACAATCTCTATTTTTTATTGTGAAAATATTTTCCTTACGTAGTGTTTAAAATTCCTAAATGCATATTTGAAATGATCCCTAAATTTAGATTTTGATGACAATAAATTCAGAGAAAAAAAATATGACATAAGGATTGTGTGAAACAAATTCTTATTATCTAAATATTTCGATTTCCTTTATGTACAATATTAACACAAATCAAACGAAAGAACTATCAGATGAACATAGCACTAATAATTATTATTGAAGGAATGCATGCACCTCTAACTATGATCGAAGGATTTAGATAATGATTTGATTAGAGCTATGGAAGATGTGTTATTTTCTCTTATAGGTTTGAGGTGGGTAGCTATGTTATTAGTTTAAACTGCATTAAACATACAAATATATGTGTGTACATAAGGTAAAGAAAAGAGAACATTTAACTTTTTATCATATTGCCAGTTATTAAGACAGACACTTTTTTTTACCATATTAAAGACCGATCCAGGGTTTTTTCTCCGGAATGGGATGCGGGTATTTTCTATTCAGGAAAAAAATCTCAGTAATTTTTGCCCACCTTACTATGTAAATTAAATAACAATTAAAAGACTTTGGGATGGGGTGCCTGGATCAATGCAATTTTTTATTCTCACATTGTGTAAAACAACATAGAAAAAAATACAACAACAATAGCAAACAAAATACATGATGCAAGAGTGCAATTTACGGTTAACATTGGAAGGGTAACTCTCTTATTCATTTTAATGATGAATTAACATAGGTTATTGATGACGGATACCTTTTTACATGAAAATAAATCTGAAAAACTAAAAGCACTTGGTCGACTTATGTATGCTGATGGTAAATAAAATTTTCTACAATCATTTAAAGCTGGACATGACATAATATAATGACATTCATCTGCAGTATCATTATTACATAGAGTATAAAGTCTTCCTTTTTAAGGTACATTGCTCTATCGGCCTGTCTCGATTGGCAAGAACTGCGAACGATAGTGTTGTCCTACCTCCAAGTCAAATTTCAAATGTTAACATATTTGAATGATTTTTCATATTTATATAGATATTAATGTGAATTTTCACGAAACATAACTTATTTGGGGAAAAAACGAGAGACAACTCTAAAATTTAGGTAAAAATTGCGTTTTCCACTTAAGAAATCAATGGAAAACGGAATATATTTTTAAAACATCAACCCCCCCCCCCCCCATCCGGTGAAACAAAAATTCCTTTTTATAGGTCTTTATATATTGTTATTTCAAAAATTCATACCAAAGCTTTTGTTGTTTTACGGGGAGCGCGTCATATGTTTATACTATATACTTTATAGACAAAAAACTACCAATATGGTTATTTTATGACCATTTTCAAATGAGATTACAAATAAAAAAATATAATTCATCAAACTTTTATGTTGAATTTTAATTACGTTAAACATACGGAAAGATTTAAGGGTGATTTATCCACTTCAATGAGCATTTGAAAATCTGGCGATGTTTTAAAGCCTGAATTCAATGGATGAAATTTTCAACCTCACTTATGAAAAGAGTCGTAAATAACAGCAATTAAATTTTTGACACTGGTCTTAAATTATTAATCAACTAATAATGAATACTTCTTTGCAAACAAACAAGTTTTAATGGCCAGATCGCCATTTATATTGAATTAAATGGGTGTAAAATGTAGGCGGGAAACAAGAGTTAACGTGTGTGGTTCTTTATGATTACTAGTATTAGTTCTAAATCTTACTAAATAAATGTAGTTAGAGTGACAGACTGGATCCCAGCGCTGTATTTCCTTTTGCTCTAGTTAGATTATTACAAATTTGAAATATGCACGATCAGTATCATAAATGCAAAACAGATCATACTCTCAAAATTAATTTTAAATGCATAAAAAATCCTATTTCACCGCAGCTAGGTTAAGGACTCCCATATATATACGTCAGCCTATGCAGAGGTTCGGGAAAGCTATTATGACGTCACGTTAAAACAATACAAATGAAACTCGATGAATAAATACTATTATATTCTTTTTAAAACACACTAAATACTTTCGTTCCTCATAAATATTATAGAGATAAATGAATATGCAACTTATCTTGCCATAATAGCACTTAGCGTATGTAGAATGAAAGTCAGCTTAATCTCGCTGTACTTACTGAGATGACGTCATTTCTTAGTTTGACACGCAGTTTCTCTGTAGTTGAGGCGTGGATCAAGCTTTTATCGTAGCTTGTAAAAATAAAAATAAATACAAAACACACGTAGTCGAACCAAATGAGAGACATATTCTGAAATATATTAATCCACATTTTATTGTCAAACTAAATTGATAATGTGTAGATTTTATATAAAGCCGTAGGGAGAACGTTTGTACAGTAACGTGCTAGAATGACAGGTCCAGCCCCTCGGAAATATCAAAAGTTCAACGATATCCGCTTCACTATAAATTCTGGATTTTTAAACACGTGTAGCTATTATTCCTACTATTCTGAAAAGTGCTGGGAGCTGGTTGTGCATTGTTTATTTATTTCGTTATGTAACATTATTACACTGCGTATTACATTTTAGTCTGGAGTTTATAGAAAGACGGCTAAATTTTAAACAATTCCCGAGCATGAGGAAGTTGCTCCCAGCACTTTTCGGGTTAAGGAATTTGTCTCAAAGAAAACAGAATACATTTTATAGCGGAAAGATGCCCGTATATCGTTGAACTTTTACGATCTTTGTAGTAGTGCATATATGTTCTAATTTTATACCTGTCACGTGACAAACAGCTGATGTAAGCGTTGTCGCTTTGGCCAAACTCAGCAAAGACCCGATATGTACAAGTGCAAACACCAAAATTCACATTTATCAAGACTAATGCTGTTAAAAAAAATATTAAAATTGTATTCATTTTCCCTAAATATATCAAGGCGTATATTTCATGGGCATCCTTAACCTAGCTGCGACTCTTTTTTTTAAACAGTAATTAACGATTTTGGGACATAACTTTAAAAGAATAGTATAATTGAAAGCATGTAAAAATGCTCGAACATTGATGAAGTCAGCCTGTTGAAATTTTTTCTATACTAATATATATATATATATATATATATATATATATATATATATATATATATATATATATATATATATATATATATATATATATATATATATATATATATAAGGCTTGGGGCGAATTACATTGAAAAGTAATGCATTACATTACCATTACTTCAAGAATTTGGGCATTAAATTACCATTACTCTTATTTCTTAAAGTAATGCATTATATTACCATTACATTAGCAAAGTAATGCATTAACATTACCATTACTTTTGGAGGTTTTCAAACATAAAAACACAAAACTTTGCAACTATTTTCATAAACATTCATCCCATCCCTTCAAATCTAAACATGATGAATGCTATTAATTCAGTTTTGGTTTCAAATACTTGTATTTATTACATTGTAAACAATTTACATATATCTTTTTATTATTCATAGGAAGTTCAAACTGTTCAACTGCCAATAAGATAAATCATGTACAATATGCACTTTTGGGACTTTTTACTCCTTCCCCAAAACTAAAACTAAACTTCATAAGATATTTAAAGATTATTTGGATCTAGTACCTTAATTATGACAACAATTAAATGCATTGACAAACTTGTAAAAAAGGTTGGACAATATGTACATTTTGCTCTGTTAAAAGTGGAATGCCTGTCTTCCATAATTCCTATATGCCTTTTGGTGCAATGCTTTTTAGTGCAATGGATTTGTCATGGCCGGGTTCAAGCCAAATCAGCTCAATTAATTTTTCATAAACACAGAAGAAAGAGAGTACTTTTCAAAACAATACATTGTTTTAATTGTTAAATAACCTTAGAGGCATTGTGTGTTTTGATGACACTCTATTCAATTAGCAATTATCAGTTTTATAAAATGTACATTAATTAGTGTACCTCATACCGGAATCATTTTTTAAAGGATAATTTATTATTTAAAAAAAACTCTTTAAAATATTCTTAGAAAATATATTTAATCTGAAACAAGTATGAAAATTTAAATGTGTGGTAATTGTACTTTCAACAGAATAGAAAGTGTACATGTATTTAAATAGATACAGAGAGTTTATTTGAATAGGTTAACTTTTTTTCATTTATTTATTTATATCCTTTAAAAAAATATTTAAACAATAATTTCTTTGTCCATTTTTAATATTTAAAAAAGGTATATACAAAATAATGCTTTGTAATGCCAGCATTACTCTGGATTTGAGAAAGTAATGCATTACATTACCATTACAAGTAATGCAAATTTTTTGGCATTACACATTACTAGCATTACTTCGAGTTCAAGTAATGCATATTTATATATATATATATTTATTGGACAACGAACCTGTAACTATATGTAGTATTATGTATATTTTGAATAAACCTTGTACCTGTGGAGAGGGCTTATATAGGCTATGCCTGCTGCCCAATCCATTTATATTTCAGTACATAATAAAATATGTTCAAATCAAATCAATATATTTGACTATACTTCAATCGTGCATTACAGTATGAAGTACATGTAGCAGCATGTGTAGAGTTAATCCACAGTTTGCAATTCTATTTTTACAGTAAACATGCATGTATGCAATTTCATTTTTCCATTATCCCAAAGATAACAATTGCAATTTCATACAATAAAATATATGTAGTAAAATCAACTGTAAAATTGTATTTATAGTTATCATTGAAATAATTATTTTTACTGATACTGTAATGCTGCTTTGCAACTGCAAAATTATTGATTTTCCGTAAAATCATTAAAATGAAAAAAAAAAAATCAAAACCTAAAAGTAAATAAATGTTGAAAACAACTTTAAAGATTTATATTTTGCTTTTACATTTATACATTTAGCAAATTATTTGCACGTTACACCAGCATCATTAGAGTGACTGCAAGGCCAGTAGCTATAATATCTACTGTAAATACAATCGAAGATCGACGTCTCTGTCCCTTGACAAGCGACGTTACGTAACCAATACGTTCCCGACCCTCTTCCAAAATAGGCTCTTCTGTGTGCAGTAGAGTTTCTATGAAATGAACATGAAAATGTGCCGTCAAAATATGCATTAATAACTGCGTAATTTTAGTAGAAAATAAATACATGTATAGAACATATTTACCCTGAATATCCAAGAGTTCTGCACACGACACGTGCATCTTTGTCGTCCCAGTCGTCATCGCACACAGTGCCCCATCTCCCGTTATTAAACACCTCTACACGCCCTTCGTTACTTGTACTTCCATTAACAAGTCTAATCATATCTATATATAGACAAGTTATTGACTGAAAGGTTAAATGTAAATACTGATTATGAGAAAAACAAAATTTTAGCATAATATACTAGTTTAAGGCCCTTTCACAATTGGCGCAAAATATTCGCACGACCGAAAAATTTTGATTTGGATCGTAAACTGTTGCCGAAATAATCGCATATGAAAAAGCATTCGTACGATTTATCATTGTCTGTATTATCATGACGGCAAAGTTTTTCGGCGGTTTGATATCCTTTTGGTGTATATATATATATAATATATATGGTATATATATATATATATATATGGTGTATATATATATATATGGTATATATATATATATATATATATATATATATATATATATATATATATATATATATATATATATATATATATATATATATATATATATATACATATACATATACATATACATATATATATATATATATATATATATATATACATACATACATATATATATATATATATATATATATATATATATATATATATATATATATATATATATATATATATATATATATATATATATATATATATATATATATATATATATATATATATATATATGGAATATGGAATGTCAACGAATATTCGAGTACTCGACTATCGTTCGATCATACCGACAATCAACTAAAAATTTTTAGTTGGTTATTCGTTAAGATTTTGCTACTTAATAGTAAACTTAAATTCAAGATTAGAAAATGGATCCTCCCAGCTCATTTATTAACAGATCAGTGTTCTTGTGAGTAAAACTGGGTATCATGTAAGTTTGAACTCACTGGATGATTGTACGTTCGGTCTTTATAACATCACAACTTTCTACTAGATAATAAGTAAATTTAAAATTTACGATGTATTAAATGGATCAGTTTTGTCTGTCCTTCTGTTAGCGTACTTTTTAAAAAAATAACTTTTAGAGGATTTTCCTTATGATCACCTAGTAACCTTGAATTTGACCTTAACCTTTCATCCATAAGGCTTAACCGGTCTTCGTTAATTGTTCTAACTTAAGTAATGAAATAATTTGCTTGACTGTCAATTTTTGTTCGGCAAACATGCAATGGAATACTTTAAAAGATGTCAGATCCAAATTGTAAAGTTTCAACCTGTAATTCCATAATATAAAAATATTATATTATATTAATCAATTGAGAATTATTATAATTATTTGTAAATACATGTAAATTGGGGGGCAGTTATTAGTGTAAATTTAAAAAGGTGTTTCTTTCGATATTAACATCAATCATTTCAAGATTGTATTGCTTGTTTTCAAACATCTCATAATTAAAATTTATCGCAAGCTCTCTTTGTTTTTATAAGAGGCACGCATTAACAGTTAACCAGTCACGGGTCACTGACAAGACACATTCAAATGGCTTCAGGAAAGAAATCAATAGCGGGTACATGCACTACCATCATGAAAAGAAAACCACAAATGCGAGCGTTTGATGTCCTGTATTTAGATAAAATATGCAGTAAATATTATATTTAAAATTAAATACATTGAAATCATACACATATATCTATAACTACGTAAATGTTAACGATTCAATAATTCGTTGTATAATGGTGAATGTGTACATTAAATATTGTACAAGCTAGCAGTCTGTTAAAGACGAATAGGGAAAATGACATGAACAATTTTAAAAATGTAAATTTCATAGAGTACTCGACTATCGTTCGACTAAAGCCTCCGATTTATCGACTAAGCTGTCCGAGTAAAATTGACATCCCTAATATACATACATATATATATATATATATATATATATATATATATATATATATATATATATATATATATATATATATATATATATATATATATATATATTCATCAGAGGTGGGATCAGGTGCTATGGAGTAGTGAGCATCCCCCGCCGACCGGTCTCACCGGTCGTGTGCTTTTTGTCATGATTGGGAAATAAGGGGAAAATCCGTCGACAATTCAGTGTGTAAATAATGGCCTAACAATTTGTATGAAAAACGTCATTCACCATTTGACTTAATGAAAGATTGTATTTGCTGACAAGATCATTGTATCCATTGTATCGACCATAGAACTTACGAATTGTAGACTTTAAACGAGACTGCTGATATTCTTGTTTCATCAACTTGTTTATCAATAACTTACCTCGTATTAGAAATAGTTCATACGTAGAGCATGCTCTGACGTATCGAATCAACTGAGAGATATAAATCCCGTAGGCAGGTGATAAGGGTATACTGCTGCATAGGTAAGGGAAGTTGACGATTGAAAAGTTAAAGTCATCACGTTTATTACAAAGCTTTGTTGTTAGATTACCATTAACGTCTTTTTCTAATAAAATTTCCAAATATGAAACAGATGTGTCAGACTCTGTGGTATCTTTTATCTCAAGCTCACCGGGATATATTGTGTCGACATAAGAATGGAAATAACCATTGTTAATTGACAATACGTCGTAGATATATCTAAATGTTGTGTTGAAGGCCACAGCAAGTGTTTTCTTCTTTTCACGTAAAAGATTTTGAACAAATTCATATGAATACAAAAATAGGTCTGCTAGTAAAGGGGCGCAATTGGTACCCATGGGAATTCCAATAGATTGTTGGAAGACCTGGTCTCCAAAACCACATAAATATTGTCAATCAGAAACTTGAGCATCTTTTTAATATCAACTTCAGAGTACTTGTGTGTACAATCAGATTGTTTTATATTTTTATTAGGAATATTTGGCGTAATTTCTCAAAAGAAATATTGGTGCTTTATATTGTGATTTAACCTTGCAATAATGAAGCGTAAATGTAAATTAAGGTTCGTTTATGTATGGTAATTTTTTAATTAAACAAAAATTACACAAAAAATAGCTGCAGATTCTGAAAAATAAAAGTACGTCGAGAACTATTAATAAAAGACACCAGGGAGTATGACATAACTACTTAATATCTAAATATTTTACTAGAGAAAGAGATTGATAGCAAATAAATTACAGTAAAACTTGTCTAATTCGCACTAAACTTTATGATAAATGTGAAGACTTAATTTTTTTTTTCTATCTTCAACTTTCCTAATTTATGTAGCAATATATAGTATTACATGCATTTGGGATATATGTCTTACAACTGATTCTATACACAAAACACGTTCTTCGTACAAACAATTTTTAAAACGAGGCAGGCTTCTGACAAACAAGTTGATGTATCAAAGATACATAGATCTACAATCTCGTTTGAAATCAACATTTCGCAAATCCCATGTCAATAATACGACATTGTATGCAAACTAAATCTTTCTTGGGTCGAATTTTCACTGACGTCTTTCATACAGTTTGTTAAGCCATTATTTTCATACTGAAATGACTATGGATTTTTCCGTTTAACGATCATGACAAATAGCATACGGCGGGTGTGACCAGTCGAAAGGGGATGCTTACTACTCCAAAGCACCTGATCCTACCTCTGTTTTCAGAAGTTCCTGTTTGCTCTGCTCAAAATTTATATTGTTTCAATGGCCTTTTTCGTTATCATAGTATTTCTGTTTCTCCTTGTATTTCGCTTATTTAAAAAATATAAGAATAATCTAATTCTAGTAATTAGGATTTCAAACAAATTTTATTACTACATAGTTAATGAAAGAAAAAGTGAGCAAGCTCACATACCCCACGCTCCCCCAAAACTCGACAATGCAACACGTAATGAATGGCACAGTGCATTTTAAATACACAATATATGTATAATTCAAAAAGGGGCATTACTTGCAAAAAATCATCACATCAAAACTTCTTGCATATAAGGACATTCAAATCTTTGTATGTTACAAATTTAATTGGGCTGAAGTTTCTAGATAAAAAAAATTCTTGGTAATATACAAATCTATACATTATGTCTGAAATACCTACAAAGTTTCAGGAAATTCAGTGCAGGAGTTATGCTGACAAACTGTTATTTAAATTCCTCAGTGATTTCGATTTGCTTATGAGTGTAAGTCCATGTCCAACACACATAACAATTTACACATTTAAATAATCGATGGAAACAAAATTATGATGTAGTCATATGAACTTGTTTATATACTGTACTTATGAAATTATTTCAGGCAAAGCACCAATTTGACGGGAGGGGGGGGGGGGAGAACTATCCAAGATTTTGTGTGTGTATGTGTGTGTTAAATCATTAATATTTTGATCTCAAAATCAATTGGGGTCTTTTAAGGTCATAAAATATTTCGCATAAAATTTCATTACAAAAGCTGATTCCAGTGGATTTCCTTATTACCTAGCTGGAAAGTTTCTTCAATAATAGGCAAAACTGTTAAGGCAAAAATAATGGAATCAGAATTTCCTGGTAATATGCACATCTCCACACTGTGTACTAAATATCTGCAAAGTTTGACGAAATTCTGTGCAGCAGTTTAAGAGGAGTTGAGCTGACAAACTGTTCATCTCTATATTCAAGATATGGCCAAAAATCTAAGTCGAAAAATGCCGAAATTCCCAGAAAAATAATGGAATCCAAATTTCCTGGTAATATGCATATCTACACATTGTGTCCCAAATATCTGCAAAGTTTGATCAAATTCTGTGCAGCGGTTTATGAGGAGATGAGCTGACAAAAAAAAAAAAAAAAAAAAAAAAAAAAAAAAACAGGACTGACGGACTGACTGACTGACTGACAGACGTGTCAAAAACATTATACCTCACGCAACTTGTTGCGTGGGGTATAAATATAAAATTTCATGCAATTTAGACAAGCAATAAATCGTGCAAAATTTATATGATGTCACGTCTACAGGTTATCCTTTGCATGTGTATAATGATTCCTTTTTTGATAAGACTAATCGTTTGAGCGCGTGGTTTCATCATTGAGAAAGGAAACATACATGTACTCGATATTACTTGTGGAAGAGACATCTTATATATTGTTTACGATTTTAGACGCATTACGACGAAACAAAGTGTACTGGCACTGGGCTTTTTTTTTCATTTGTCACAACGGGC